CCTAATTCCACATCAGAATTTAATTTGCATATAGGAAGTATCAGAGCACATTTGATGTTCCATTAATTTAAAACAGTTGTAAAGACCCTCAGTTCATGTTGTAGCAGTTTTAAAGTGGCTGGGTTAGTATTAAAATGAAACTCTTAAAGATTCTGCCTTATCTGACTGGAGTATATCAAGTAACAAAATAAAATATGATCCTAGGATAAGAAATTCTAAATCTACAAATACTTACAATCTGTTTCTTGTGTATGTAATCAGGCAGCAGCAAAATTAAGAGGGTTAGAAGCAAGAGGAAGGGCAGCCTTAAACTTTTTCTTTTTAAAGCTCCTGTTTAGAGCTGTAACTCAGCTAAGTGGAGACACCTGGTGTTTGTTGTTGCAAATTCACTAGCAATACATCAAAGGTTCAGAAGGCAAAAGTGTGACACATTTTCAAGTGGGCTATATAGAAGGGGCACATCACAACATAGCTGGAAAATTAATCTGCCCATACTAAGGTCTACCACAAACCTAATGTATTTTTGTTGTGTTCTCAGCGTAATTATAAAGGCAGTCTGAACAGATACGTGGTTTTACGCACTTGTACAGCATGTATTTGAGAAAAACTTGCCTCATTCTGTCAGGTGTTAAATCAAAGTGCTAACTTTTGTGTAATGACTGTTTTGTAACACTTAATAAGTACCTTGTGTAACACAGTTCCAAGAGGAAGGGGGAAAAGTTTATACAAGGCCAAAGGAATATTAAAGTTTCACTACAGAAGAAATATTGTGGCTGCCAAGGCCTGATTAGTCATAAAATCCACAGCATTATCATCATTCATCACTGCCTTCTTTTTAATGACCAAACTAAAAAGAGACATCAAAGCTGAAAAAAGGGAGGTTCAATAAATGTAGGACAAATATAAGATCCCAAAATATTTTGATAGAACCCTAACCAAAAAAAAAAAAGGGGGAAAAATCATTTGAATGAATCACAAAACATATGTTATGTTTTGCTCTAAAAGCCATGAAGTTTATGCAGTGCTCTATTATGGTAACTGCTTGGCTTTTCATGCATTCCTAAATTACCATGTAATCTAAAACCTTGTTTTCAGCTGCTCTGTATTGGAAAGTCCCTTGCAATAATCAGGATGATTACAGGCTAGTGCAGAGAATAAAACGTGTTTATATTATTGCAAAAATAAAATTGTAATTTGTCAGACATCCTACCTTCTCCAAGAGAAAAACAAAAAATTGCTTCTTTTTTTCCCTTTCCTGAAAATATTTTAAACAAGGATTTAATTTTGGCCACACTGCAACTTTAAAACATATGGATAGTTGGTGTAAAAATATGTTTCTTTCCTGTAGGGACTTGACTCTAATTGGTGTGCCAAAACTATCTCACAGAGATTTCATTGTCTTATCTACTTACATCATCTTAATGCGATTTTATTTTACTTTGTCAAAGTCATATTAATGTAAATGTGTTCTTGATAGCAAACAGAGTTCTTTTTTATGCAAAACAGGATTCAGCTGACTCTAATAAAACAGCTTGCAATCCATTAGACTATAACTGTAATGTATTTAGTTTGTTTCCCAAATAAAGACTGTCAGAAAGCTGTATAAGGAGATTTGTCTTGTTTTTCCATAATAATCACTTGGGTGGGGTTACATTATGATCTTTAAATGAATAGTATCACTTAGAACAAACACTTCATATATCTTTTATCTTCCCCTACATACAGTTTTGAGTTTCCTTTGAAAATGCAAAGCTACTTTTCCAGATAAGTCATCAAAATGTTTCCAAAGTATTTTAATTGCCAGATTAACTATATCTTGAATGCAAAGATAGATTGCTTGCATTCTTTATGCAGAAATCCTGCTGTAGCAACTAGCAACAAATTAATTTCTTTTGAAACCATGAAAAATATGTTTTTCTATGCAAAGTTTAAGAAAATGGTAAATAGATACTTAAAAAAGGTTACTCATTCTAGGTGGGTAATCTGTAAACAAAGAACATAGGATTAAATGTACTCTCTCTTTTTTTTTAGCATCTACGTTATAGCCCTCTGTTAATATATTCAGTTAATTAAGGATTGTAGTGACCTTGTGGCAATTTTTGAAATCTAGGAATTTTTCTTCCGCCTCCCCCACAGAGTCTAAAATAATCTTTTTCAGGTCAAAGTCTGTTTATGTCAGCAACATTCATACTACATAACTAAAATGTTTTAATAAATTTATCAACTGGAAAATATTGCAAACATGTCATTTCCTTTGATACAGACACAAAAAACCCTCTGCCTTCATTGCAAATTCTTGCTCATATGAATCACTCTGAGTAATATTTGCTTTAACTTTCGTGTGGTTCTACAAACAGCCTTTATATGGCCAGACTTCAAAGCTAGTAGAAATAAAGGTTAGAAATGTGATAGGAGTAATCTATTATTAGGCATGAAACATTAAACCACTTTTAGTTATAAGCCTTAAAACCTGAATAATCTGGGTTTTTAACTTGCTGCGTATTTACTGTGTTTTTACTTCCTTAGACATTTATCATGGAGAGACTGTTTTTAACAGAAATATTTTCCATAGGAGTATGAACCATAATTGGGTTTAACTTTTCCTAATATTTAATTTAGAAAAACTATAATATTATAACAGGGTTCTTGTATGTCAAAGCAGAAATACCCCGTTTGGTGTTTCTCGCAGTGTAAAATTAATCTGTTACCAGCGTGCTGACCCGAAAGTCAGGTTTGAGTAAAATAGGCATGAGAGAAAGGAAGGGGGAGGGGAGAGTGAGATAAAATCTTGTTCTTTAAATAGCAGGGGGGAAAAAACACAGAGGAATGTCACAACCCACCACTGACATCAAATAACAAAATAAGGCAAATGTGTGTTTGAGTAAGAAGGTTTTTTTAAAAAGGTATTCGCTTCAGCCATAGCTGTGTACATGGCAGGAATGTTAATTGTTAAAATCTGCAGTGTAGCATTTCTTGTAAGCAAAAGAGTTGTATTTGATACAAGTTCATGTTTGCCTCTTCCCTCCCCCTTGTATATTTACAGTGAAAAGAATGTACTAATGTTCTGAAATGAGTCAGATGTCACAGGGAGAACTTTGCAGAATTAGGGAACTTTAAACTGTTCGACTGATATGAGCATGTAAGGACAAAACTTAACATTGGTAACATTTTGTTCTTGATTAAATTTGTGCACTAATACAGTAGATTAAAAATAAGTCCAACAGTTGAAAACACATTACAGCTCAAGCACAGCAGGTCAGCCAGAAATAAACTATCACTCAAAATCCAGAATTTAAAATTCTTGTGAGTCTTGGAAAAACAGGGTTACAGCTTTGAAGCAAAGTCCAAAAGCCTGTTCCTGCTGAAGCCAGTGGGACCTTTATCATTGATTTCAGTGGATACAGGCTCATGGTTACCCTTTTTTCATTTTATTTTGTCAGTAGAAAGTCTAGTAATGTCATAATGTTTTACCTAGTCACATTTTGGTTGCTTAGATGTAATTCTGCTATGTTTTCTCAGATACCATACAAGCAGATTTCACTGAGAGGTACACCCGCTGAGAGGTGGATTAGAAATACGGTTGCATCAGCTCATGCAAAGGTATACATTATGGCCCCAACTCTTCCAAGTATTTCAGACGGGTCACTGCCTGAGAGTTCTGGTCCCATAAGGAGACTTTGCAGGTAGGTACCCTCAGCCACACATTTAGTGGCCCAAACTGTGCAGGATCAAACTTTTACAATGTAAAAGCATGTGAACAGATAGTATTAAATTGGGGTCTATGTGTTCCAGCACTTCCCTGTGTGTCTGACTGTGAAATTCAACAACTTTCTCTCGCAAGAGTTCAAGTGGCAGTTTCCATTGGGGTTTCATCCATGTCATCAGATTTCACAAGTTTTGCTTTAAATGTTGTGGCTTGAGGTCAAAACTCAGTCAAAATGGATGCATTTCACCTGATTTGCCACTGAAACCAGAGTCAACTACAAATTACACCTGACTTGAATACACCAGTAGAAGCCATCTTAGATCCATGGTTGAGATTGGGCCCACGTTTGGGGGTAAACCTTAAGAACTTCAGCAAACCTTTTGACAGACCTGTACAGAACCTTGACTCTGTAGTCCAAGGTGAACACAAACTAGTTTCCAGTTGGTTCTAAGTTGTTATTAACATCTTTTTCTGTACAGGACTTACACTGAGCTGTGGTTCACTTCAGTTATTTACATCAGGGTCTTTGAAGTGATCTGGAACAGACCCACATATTGTATCAATTTAAAAAAGCATCAGCTACTTTTTTAGTCTCCTCCTCTCCTTCCACAGTACCCAGTTTCAGGCCAGTGTCGTTTAATAGGTTACCTGTTGCAAATGCTGACATTGTGATACTTTGCAAGTTTGCACATTCACAGAAAGCATATGTGCACAAAGCCGTAACAGTTGCTGTCTAAAAAGTAATAGCTCTAGCAAGCAACTGGAAAGGATGTTAATATTGCCGGGGAGGGTGAAAACATAATTGAAACTGTTTATTTTAGGGCATGTGGGACTAAACAAGGTGATAGTTTCTGAGCAACAAATATCCATAATTCACTTGTTCTGGCCTTATAGACTTATTTGCTCTACAAATTTGCTTAGTTGAAAAAATGTAAACAGCAAGTGCTGCATGGAGTGAGCCATTAAACATTAACCTATTGTAGACTTAAAAACCTGTCTTATTATATTTAAAATATACAAGGGAAAAGATACTGGACTGCTGAATGAAATTAGACTAGCTGTGAAGAAGAGTGCAGCATTTTGCCTTTCGATTCTAAAATTTTAAAAGGTGCCTTTGAAACTCTTTGCCCTAGAGAGAATTTTTGCATCATTAACAACTTTCACTGAAAAAGAATTTTTGACTTGCGTTGAATTTTCTCCATCCTTATCATCCCCTAGATTCCTTCATGAAGAGGGCATATTCTGCCAGCCCCACACAGTGAGTAGGCAGTGGTGCCATGAACAATTCTGTTGATTAGGGAGTATCCTGTGTCACAAGGCATAAAATGAGCAGGGTCAGCCCCTTTATTCTCCCTTTTCTCAAAGGCCCCTAAAAAACAGCAAACTATTTAGTATATATTCAGTTTAATCAATTATCTAAGAAACTTCCAGAGATGAGGTATACAGGTGGGCCTGAATGTCTGGGATTTTAATGTGGATGAAGGGTGGGAAGTGCCCAACTCCTACTAAGTTCCCTCTTGAGACTCCCTTAAATTCCTTTGCTAATCCCGACTATAGACCTTATCCTCTCAGTTGGAAGGGTGGTTGGAGCCCTGTGTGTAACCACACCTACTACCATCTTAAGGGATGTCATATTCTTCCTGTTGTCTGCCTGGTAATCTGAGGCAAAGGGCAATGATTATCCTTCATCTAGTGAAAGATGATAAAATACAGAGGAAGGAGGAGAGAAAGTACTGTGGAGAAAGGAAAGATGTAAAAAGGAGCAGGCACATGGGAGGAAAAAAGACCAAATCCTGCTATTCCCCACACTTTTCTCTACTCACCATTCTTTCAGGTCCATTATCTTCACCATTCTTTGCACTTCCATTTCTTCATTTTTTCTTTTCTATCTTACTCCTTCCCTTCCATGCCCCCCATGTCTTTATGATTTAAAATGTACAGTTGCTATTCTTACCTCTAGCCCATGAGTGTCTCTGTCAGTGCCTTTGCTATCTGAATGTCATTGGAGTTTACAAACTGTGTAGGGACAGAGTTTGCACTATATCTAGTGCTATGGAGTTCTTGTTCACAATACATAAATAGTAATCCAATGAGAAAGGCATCCGTGAGAGAAAATGTAACTTCAGTAGGGCAATTTTCTTTAAAAAATTTTATCATTAAAAGACAGATACCCAATATTCAGTCCAACACAGATGTCACACAATCATGTCAGCTGCTTTTCTTAATCTAGATGTTGCCCTGTGGGGTCAGGCCAATGCTCAGGATCTCAATATTGTGCTGTTAGACAGGAGGGCATGGTGTACAATTGCACATGCACACATACAAAACATCAATTAGGTGCATACACATGCATAAGGTGCATGCACACACACTAAGCACATACACCCCCACAAGGCATGCACACACACTACCAACTCAGGCACATACATATCCAAAATTACCAGCCTAGGCACATGCACACCTATCACTTATTCAAACACCTACACACTATACACACCAAAAGTTAGAGAAAAATCAATTGTCAATACCTGCACACCCAATACACATACACGGATCACTAATTCGTATATCACACACATGATCAAATATCCATATACGTATCAGGAGAGAAGGCAGTAGAGACAAGGCAATAGAAGTGGCAGAGATCAGGGTAAAAGGCAGTGGAGATAAGGCAATAGCAGTGGCAGAGACCAGGGTAAAAGGCAATAGGGATGAGACAATAGCAAAGAAAGAGGGGTTTGCAGGAACAGAGGAGCTCAGGACAGCTGGAGCCACAGGAGCATGGGACAGGTGTTGGAGGTGGTGGTGAGTTAGAAGCAGGAGAGAGACAAATGAGACAGAAGTTAGAGGGGTGAGGAGCAGAGATTGGAGCAGAGCTGGAACAGTAGTAAAGCAAAACCCAACTCAGGGGTCCAAATAACATTTTTATTAAATGAACACTGTACTGTACAGCTTGGTTCCTACACACACTCACACAAGCACTCCCACACACACTCATGCACATACAATGGCAGTAGGGATTAAAGAGGATTGGTGCAGGGGCTCAAGTCCAGGAGGACAGAGGGAGAGAGGTTCCAAATCCTTAGTTGAAGAGAAGATGTGGGAGATAGCTACCTATCCAGGCTGGGAGGGGGTCCTTGATGGCCAGTCAGGGTCTTTCTCTAGCAGGTGTTGTCCAGAGGGCGGTCGCCAGCAGGATCTCTGGGTTGATAGGCAGTGTGACATGGAGCAGGTGAAGATGGCATCCGCAGGAGTCAGTCTTCACTACCCTTTTTTATGGGACAGACTACTTATGATCTCCTATGGGGAGGGAATGTCCAGGCAATGTCAGCCCTGTTCCAGAGGGTTCCAGATATTCATACTGAGCATGTACAGCCTTGGCACAATGGTGGATTACCTCATCTTTTGTTTCTTGAATGCTGAGGGAGGTTCCAATGGCTGGGTTGTTGGTCCATGTATTGGTTTTAATGGTGGGGTGGTTTAGTAAGGGTCTTGCTATCATTGTGTTTCACTCATTCATTCACTCTTTTGTTTCAGGCATTCAAGGAAAACCAATTTACATGAGAGAGAGTACAGAATTGCAATATACTGACACAACAGGGCATGGGGACAACATGGGAACAAGATGGGAATGGATACTTGACATCACTTTACAGACACAGGCCTAAACCATACAATATTAATATGAAACAATACAAATCAATGCACAAACGATAGGAATACAATATAAAACAGTAAAAATCAACACAAACATAACAGAATACTATTTACAATATATAAAAAAGGGGCTTATTATACTACTTGTAATCACTTATAAAGAGGGCAGAGAGAAAGTCAGAAATGGTTGGGAAAGGGGAGGGAATGTATTTTTAAATTTAAAAAAAAAGAAAAACTGGGGGGTTTGTTACATAGACACCACCTAAGTAATTAAACAGGCAATTTGTCTCCTTCAGTTTACTAAAGTTAACATCACTTGAAGCATTCAGACATCCTCCATTTCAAAAAGAAGGAATGCCAGGAGAGTATTCTCCATGAGGTCCTCTCAGTTTTAGAACCTGCGATTTGTGGCCAGATTCTGACTCTCTTCTTCATGTTGCACAGCCATTGACTTCAGTAGAGCCAGCAAAGAATACCATTGACTTCAGTGAGATTACTTCTGGAGTAGATCTGGTGGGAAAGCATTTGTATGGATTTTTATGGCATTTTTAAAACCTGGTGGGAAAGGATTTTTATGGATTTTTTTAAAGTCAGTTTTTATCATCATTCTTTTCTGAGAAAGTTTGACAATTTTTATAAAGGATGAACTTTTCAGCTGAAAACTTGTTTTGATCAAAAAAAAATTGATAAAGTCTCAGCATTTCCTGTGTAAGATAGGCACTGTCTGTAAAAAAAAAAAGTCCCCCCACAAAAAATTCTGTGTTTCATTTAAACTCCATTTTCCTTCAGATAACAGTTTGAACAGAAATTGTTTAACTTTTTCTCCTGGAATTAGGTTCTTTTCTTCTCAGCTTGAGTAGCAGTGTCAAAATCTAGCACTAAGGCTTTCAGAATGATGAAATTTGCTGGAAACTATTTGGGTGCAAAGAATTATTTTGTTGGAGGCCATGGTTTTTTGGGGAGAAGTGGGGAAATTAGCTGCAGTTTCAGTTTTGTTTAATTGCTCAGCTACTAAGGATAATAAGGCAGGTGCCTTCTTGTGTATTTTAAATTTCTAATAAAATATACAAATAAGTAAACAGTTCTTGGCTTTGCAATCATATCAGCTCTGTAAATCAGTATGAACATGGATTACCAGATAATACATAGCTAGTTCTAAGGTTTTTGTCTTTAAACTTTTTGTTTAAATATGACTTTTTAATGTCTATTATTGAATGTCTATGTTGGCTCTGTGAAGTCCTTCCTGGAACTTTTAGCAACTATATTTGCAGTTGTGTTGCATATAATTAAACAACCAACAAAGAAATAAATAACATCAATAAAGTAGTAAATAATTATATGCAGGCAAATGCCAAAGCCATTATCCATCAGGCAACATCTGTGAGCATTAGTTTTGATTAACCAATAATGTTACACAATAGGAGTAGAAATGCAGGTCAGGGCTCTGGGAGAATCACCTACACTTTTCTAAACAGCAAGCTTTGTTATTTTTAAGCAGGACTTTCAGTAGGAACCTTAATTAAATGTAGCATCCTAACACTACTCCCTCAGCAATAGCACTTTCCAAAGCATACTAAGCACTAGTAACTAATCTATGCCCAATGAAAGCCCACATATATATTTGAAAGGCTTTAATGGCATGATTATGTTGATATACCAGAAACTCCCCTTGGTGATGATGTAGCTTATACTGGCAAAAAAAAATTGTTAGTAGCCTAAAATCGTTTCCTGAATGAAAACAACTTAACCAGCAAAAGGACTTTTTTGCCAATATAAGAGGGTCTAACATCAGGACTTTTCCTAGCATAGCTGTGCTGGTGTGAAATATAAAAAAATCATATGCCGAACAAACAGAGCTCTGCTAGGAAATTGTGTTAAGCGCAGAATGAACCTAAGTGCAACACTCTGATCTACAATCTAAAGGAATTTTAATTGAGACAACAACAACAAATTAAAATGTTCCTACATACAGCAGTAGTTAGCCACTATGATTAAGGGCTGTGCCCTGAGATGTTCTGGAGCAAGACTAGTCACTCAGAGCAGCCCAAGAACTCATCTATATCAGTCAGCCACTTTTCTACCACCAGTTCTAGAGCTAGGTGGGTGATGGTGAAGTTGCACATTACAGTTAGACCACACTAAGGACACTTAAATATGAATGTCTGCACATTAAAACTCATTAACTCATGCTAAGTGCCCTCTGAGCATCTCAAAATTGTGCCTCAGGAGAGAGCTAACTCTGGACCATGCTACCTACCTCCCATTAGGGTAACTTCAGGCTGCTCCACAGATGTAAAACAAGCAATTTGCAGTCTTCCAGCACCCCAAGATACATTGCTCCCAGCTTCTCACCCCCCCCCCCCCC